TTCATAATTCCTAGTTTGTTCCTATCTCCCTTTTGGTTTTTTCCCTCTTCTTTTCTTTATTGCTTGTAGTGTTTTTTCTGTAATTTATGTGTTTTTCTCTTTCTTTTTGTTTACTGAAAGTGTCTGTCTGCATTATTTTTTTATTATGTCCCTGGCTTCAGACCATAGTTCCTCTAAATATACTAAATAGATTTATATACTAAATATATTACTAAATATATTTAGTTAACCATATTTAGTATATTTAGGGAAATCAAGTCAGTACTGCCTACCAAAATTTTTCTGAGTGGTTTGGGGTCTTTTGAGTTTTAGACCATTACTTTTGTTAGCATCCTGTGATATACTTGCTCAACATTTTTGAGGGGGGAAATTACTTATATTATTTAGAACTGAGATTCTGTACTTCAGACAATTCAGTTTGTGGAGACATCTAAGTCAGTGTTTCCCAGCCTTTTGTGCTTGAGATATTTTACACTTCAGCTTCCATAATTTCTGACTTTTGGCCAAGTTGGCTGGGGCTTGTGGTATCTGAAGTCCAGAACAAATGGAGGATCTAAGGTTGGGAACCACTGGTATCAGTCACCATCTGGCCAGATGCTGTGGGATGACTAAAGATGTGGTTAACAACCACTTCATGATTCAAAACCTGACTAGCTGGATGGCAGGCTGCATCCAAGAGTTTATCTCCTCACAAGACAAAGTAGTCCCAGTTTCCTTAAAAGAGATGACAGGGAGACTGACTTGAAAAGAAATTGTTAAATCTGGAAGATCTGAATAATTGTAGGCAGATGGTTAACTTTCCTTTTCCAGACAAGGTGATCAAAAGGATGGTAGACATGCATTCCCTTGCAAATGTACACATATGAAGTGGACCCAATTCAAATTGTCTCTGCAGATCTCCAAAGTGATATGTGAAAACATTCTGTCAACACTACAAATTCTGTCCTAGAAACACATGTGAAATACACTGTCAAAAGAGTTACCTGGTTTGGCTGTTTGGTGGGATCCAGAGATGAATGAGTCTCATTGCTATTTTTGTAGGTTCCCAGGAAGGGGTGGTGCTAATGGAGAAAGAATACATGCATGGTAGCAAGTAAGACATCTTGTATGACCACCAGAATAGTACATTTACTAGAGCTGAGGCTGTGATACTTAATTGACATGAACTGAAGTTCTGCAAGCATTGCTCTCTCAGTGTGCCTGGTCTTGTGATCTGGGATCATTCTGCTTGAGAAAGAAGGTCAACCTGTGA